AAATAAAGACGAGAATTCAAACAAATACAATAACAAAAAAAATCACATTTAAGGAACAATAAGAAAAAAAACGGGATGATACGAAGAAATGAATTTTTTGGATTGAAATTGAATTGATTATTTTTTATTTTATAAACTTCAAAGTCTTTATTTTCAAATTAAACTTTTGAGCTTTTGTTGAAAACGGTTTTAAAGAAACATTTGGAACAAAAAATAAGTTACATTTAGTGTAAATCGTAAAATGTGGTTTTTTACACAAAAATGTAAAAATCATACACTTTTTGGTCAAATACCAAATGGATTCTGGATTCGACAATTTTTCCACTCAAAGCATTAAAAAAACAGTGTTTAAACTTGAAAAGGACTTAAAAAATCATAAAGTCTTCACCAAAACAAATCAACATATAGCCTAAGTTTTGCAAATGTCATGAAATAAATTTAAATTAATTGTTTTTTCTTTTTTGTTTTTTTGTTATTAAAATGTTATTTTCAATAAAAAATAATTTGTTATTATTAAAATGTTTTTGTCTTATAACACAATTTCAGGGTTTTTTTAATTTTTTGTTATTTCCAAAAATAAAACCAAAATTTACTCACTTAAGTGGGTTTATTCCAAATTAAGTACTTAAATATTGCTACTGTATAACTAATAATATTAAAGGAATTAAAAAATAAAACAAATCAATCAATATAAATGATATAACAAGTTAATAATTATAAATAAAAAATAAAACTCTAAAAATTTTAGTTTTATTAAAATATTTTAAATAATTAGTGATGTTATTTTATCTTTAAAATTTAAAAACACAATCATGAGTTGCAAGCCTGTAGATTATAGTGGTATGGGACCATCAATACCAAAAATCTCTTTAAAGCATAAGAAAGAAGATAATAAAAAAGACGAGGAACCATCAACGACTTTAAACAAAAGAAAGTACATTCAAAATGAAAACAAAAAAAGACAAAGAGAAATCGAAAAATGAAAAAAAATGGAGTCGATAAAAACTATAATAGGAAATAAAGATATAAACGGTGAAGTGTTTTATATGTGTCCTTTTTGTGGTGAAGGAATGAGAAGAACTTGTCATTTATCACATTGTAAAACAAAACACGAAAAATACAAGCAATTTTTATTGTCATTTGTCGAACCGGCTGCATTGGAATTCGTCAAATCGAATTTTATGCGTTATTTTAACGTTTATGTTGAACTTGTGGATAAAAATTATTGGAGAATAAAGAAGGAAATTTTTGCATACCAAAGAGTTTAAAATTGTATTGAGAGAAATATAAACTTGAAGATGCTGAACTGCAATTTGAACGAGGAGTTTTTTCTTTCAATAAATCAAACGGATGTAAAAATGAATTTCGAGATGATTAATTGTAATAGTTTTAAAGAGATAAAATGTCTTGACGTTTTAGAATTTGAAGAAAGTGATATCTCAACAACATCTGTGTGTGTTACTCAAAGTTCAGGAAATTGGTTAAAGTTAAATTAAATTGTCGAATTTATCGAATATATTGATTACAACGACGATAATTTAATAAAAAAAGATTCACGATTTTGTTAAGTCCCAAATTGAACGAGGAATAAAAAACGTTTACAACTCTAAGATAAAAATATAGTTATATCATATTTAATCGCTCAAATGGAAAATACGAGTAAATATTCTGCAAGTCAATCAGAAAAATTAAAAAGGATACTCGAAGTTGTCAGAACCTTTTTGCATAACGATGATGAATTAATTTCGAATTATATTAAAATTGGACACACAACGATAAGTCTTAGAATACTACAAATGAGCAATGAAATGCAAAGAAATAAGAAACGATTTTTGAGAGTGTGTGTGTTTTTCATTTATGATAGATTCATTGAAAATAAATATAATGGAAATTTATGGTTTTGTCATATGTTTTGTTTTTGTGGACAAAACGATTCAAAAGTCAATAATGTGTATAAAGAAGATGACACTTGACCAGTATTTGGGAGCAGGAGACGGAAAACGGTATCAATTTGGGTAACAAACATCATTGAAACACTTGGGGGACATCAACAGATGTTCTTGTATTTGCAGTGATGGAGCAGCTGTAATGATAGGAGCCAATAGTGGTATGTTATCACTTTTAAGACAAAAAAGAGGCAAGAAGAAATTGATGCTTTTTAATGAAATTGAAACGCAGTGTGTTTATTGTATGCCACATCGAGCAAATGTCGCTTCTCGAGTTATTTCCAAATCGGGGTATCACTGATCAATTTTCGAGTTTCTTGATTGGATGACAGATACACCAACACGACAGTTATTCCATCAAACCAATATAAAGTATTCACTCAAACTCAAAGAATTACCACAAAAATTACTGATACGTTCGGTATTTTATTGTAGAGTGACGGATTATATTGTAAATAATTATGATAATGTAAAAT